GGTTCTCTGTATGTACCTACAAAGGCTCTTGCTGATGCAAAGAAATTACTAATGGAAAACAAGATTGTGGTTGTAAGGGGGAATTCAGGGGATGGTAACACTTATATTGCAACGGAACTCTTACATTGCTTGATGGCTGGAGAGGATTATGATCCCTTCCGCAGCTTCAGAGCTTAAATAAAATAATTCCAAATTCAGGCTTAGTAATACTGATAGATGATATGTTTGGTTTCGGAGGGTCAAAATCTCAATGTGATGTGGACTGGTGGCTAAATCGAGAGAGTTTCATTAAACCTTTGTTAGAAGGTGATATGACAGGAAGCGCAAACTGTGTGATTATAACCATGAGAACTTACACGTTTAATGAATTTAAATATGTAATTACAAATAAAGTTTTGTTCGGTGCTTATAACATTATTGACTCAAGTTCAAATACGTATGCTCTAGAAAGTGAAAGAAAAGACATTTTGAACAAATACACAAATTAATTGAATAACTTTCAGACATTTACCGACAGAGAGGTAGACCGAATTGTCAAATTAAATATTTTTCCTTACAATTTGAACAGGTCGTTATGTGTCAATGCTGCCGATGTAGCGTGCCTATTCCAACGGGTGGACATGTTAAAGTGGCTATTGAAAACACCCCCCAGTTTGTTGAACAAAGAAGGCGGTCCGCGCAGTATTCTCCATATGTCTGCCTGCTCAGGCAATCTTCAATAATACACAGCCGTACATGATATAATCGCAGGCTCAGATTCTGGAGAGAAACATGCTCAACACATCACGCTTCTGAAAGATTTCACGTAATGTTACTGTCTTGCACGCAGCGTCTCTATCTGGTTCTAAAGACCTCTGCTTGTTTATAGCTCAGGGGTGGCCGTCTCTATCTGGTTTTAAAGAACTCTGCTTGTTTATAGCTCAGGGGTGGCCGTCTCTATTGTCACAGAGGGATGACGACAACTGTCTACATGACGTAGCCTGGCCAGGTAGCGTGAGTTGTTACAAAGCGCTAGAGGATGTGTTGTTGAAGGATAAAACTGAAGAATAAGTTTCATGGTATCATTGGTAAGTGTTAAAAGGGAAACTGTATTACAGGAAGCATGTGCGCATGGGTCAAAAAAAACATAAGCTTGCATCTCTTTAAGGCATTTCCAACTCTGATATCACTGCCTTCATTCTGCAGTCTGTTCCGGCAGTCTGAGTTGTTATCAAGCGGTAGAATCGCTGCTATTTCAAGACAAAACTGACGAATAAATTCAACATTTCTTGGAAACTTTGATGGATGAGAATCAAAATACTGCGTTACATATTGCAAGTGAGCGTGGTTGTAAGGTTATACGTATGTATCTGTGCTGTAAGTTCCATATCTAATACAATAGAGACATAAATTGGATCAGCACTGCTTACATTTGGCAGCCAGATCAGGAAGTTTGAGTTGTTACCAGACATCAGAGTCTTATATTTTAGAGGAGAAAATTGATGGGATGTATGATAATTTGATGCTTCAATTGACAGATGAGAAGTGAACCATCGTTCTTCATGGTAGGTGTGAGAAGGATGGCCAGGGCACGTAATCATGAAACCGTCCTCATCCTCAAGCATGAATTATGTGCTCAAGCCAACTTGTGACTCGCACTAATCATGTAAAACGGTCACAAAGTCAGGTGTAAACACTGACGACAGTGCTCGGCCAAAAGACTCTTCATAATCCTTCAACATCATGGACAAAATGTTGGTGGGTTTTTTTCATGAATTAAGCCCCCGGTTTCTGTCTCAATATTAGCTATTTTCGCTTGAAGATAGTATTTCACCAAAACAATCCATTTATGTTGATAAATGTCATATAAATAGACACGGTAAAGACTTGTTATTTTAGAACCTAGCGATTTTCAAAAAAAAATAACCTTATAATGATGCTCCAAAATATATTTCGTAAGTTGAGCTTCGACATCATCGCAACGTTTTCGTTTTTGTTTTTGTTTTATTATTACGTCTGACCTTTGTTTTAAAGAGAAAGGCCCAAAACACTCCATTTCTTAACAGAAGTAGTAGTTTCACCACTTGAACGTTAAGGTATGAAAGCATTTATATTTGTGTGTCTGCAGCAGGAGGCATTACAATTATTACTGTAAACTGGATAGGTTAACTACTATATTAATAAATACACATGACTTTCTTGTCCAAATTTTTCAGAAGAGCAAACCTGGGGGTTACTAAGTCACTCCAGTAGGGTCAGTGTATATCATGTTTACCATAAGGAGATAAAATAAGTTTACCTCGACTGTTGATAGACTTTTATTGTGGAGAAATATTAAATGTTTCAACACGGTGAGTACAAGTTTCATGTACTAATTAGCACTTACCCTGTATTGTTTGAAAGAGGTGAATATCAGGGTTTACGCCAATTGTCACCAATTTCACAAAATGTGACTTAATGGCAATTAAATAAATGGTTCTGGTTATTATTTTTGGGGCAAAAAAGTTGACAGTTTTGTGAAAACCTGACAAAAGTAACCACTGATTCATGCATTGCTGTTATTCCATTCAAACCATCTACTATAGACATGGTTGAATCATTTCCTGTGTTTAACTCTTTTTGTTACTATGACTATGAGAATGATTAAAATCATAAAATATTTTATGAATTTCTTATATTGATTTGTATATTGATTAATATTTTTTCTTTTTGTTCTTTTAAATAAAGTTTTGGTTGAATATTTTTGCAGGAAATGTTTCCGATACATATACTGATGATTGTACATCTTGACTTAAGATGACTCAGTAAAATCGTCGTTACATCGCCATTTTCAGTTATACTGTGCTGGTAACAATGACGCGGCGTCATCCAATGTCTGGTGGATTATTTCTACATAAAAGCGTGGATTATTGTGTATGTAATGTTTATTTATGTATTTGCTGTAGTAACTGTTGTTACTCAAAAGCTTGATATTGATCCGTTTACTTGTTTATCGATTAAATGAGTGAAATACTGATGCTTGTTCTTTTTTAATTATTTTGGTATCAAATATGTCTACAACTGTCCCTTGAATACATTTGTACTCAATATTTTGTCTCAGAAACGTATACATGTTACACCATGAAGTACATATTTGATATAAGATTTTGGCGATCTAATGTTGAAATGTTGCATCATTTTAAATCGATGCATGGTCGACCTTGACTTCAAAAGCTTAACAATCAGCTTACGTGTGAAATGTAACAACAGCCGGACCATCATCAGTTGGAGTCATATCGTCTCAGCACGAACAGGCAGTCGGGTGTAACGATAGAGTAAATATTAATGGGAGTCGGTAAACGCTATCAGTTCCTATCAAATCATTTATATATATATATATATGTGTGTGTGTAATATACTAAAATGAATATAACAAAACACGAAGACTAGTATAATCGACTAAAAAATCGCCTGAAGAGCCCCAAGATGGGCGAAAGCGCTATACTACTAGCCGAATATACTAGTCTTCGTGTTTTATTTATATTTTTACCGTCACATGGACATTTACAACTGTTTATCTCTGTATACACTTATAAGTATATTAGCAAAGAAGAAATAACGACAGTGCAGACAAAGAAATTCGATTCTCTGCTCAATCATTTTTCTCTCTTGAATTATGTGACACGGCCAAAACGTCAAGTGTGAACATTTAAACGTCAGGTGTGAACATTTAAACGTCAAGTGTGAACATTTAAACGTCAAGTGTGAACATTTAAACGACCTTCGGGTTTAAGTTACTCTGAGATTCTTCCAAGTCTTCTACAAAATGATTTTTTTTCATTAATTTATCGACAGAATACGAAAATTGGGCTTCATCACAGAACATGATTTTGAGCAGGAAAACGGTTTCAGAAATACCGGCCCATTGTATCATTAGAAGTGGGGCATCGAAATTATAAAAAAAACGCCAGAATAAGTAGAAGAAACAAATTATTTAAACGTTAAAATATGGGGTCGGTTCTGGTAGTACAGTAAGAGCCCTAGCCTTTTACCAAGACGACCAGGATTCGTTTTTCGTTTGCACTATCGGTCAAAAAAACCAATTGTAAATTAAATGTGAATTTTGGTGAAATTTATAATTTTAAAATTAAAGGTCTCCGAAAAGCAATTAAGATTTCCAGTGTGGGCTTTTCTCTTGCCCTGACACCAGACTTTGCCATTCTGTCAGATATACCTGGTGTAAGCCCAGACAAGACCACCTGACATATATCCAAATATGTAATTCTGGTGTCAGGACCATACGAAGCTCGGGCTTATCTGCCACCCTCCAAACTGTCAACGGCTAAAACGTCCTAGTTTTAAGCAATCTTTAAACACTCTTTAAAACCATACTTCGGGCGTGAGAAAGCTATTTACCTACATATTAAAAATATGGTTGCTGGGTCGATCATGAAAATATCGGGAAACAAAATTGTTATCAATTTAAATATATATTGTAGGAATTGTTAGAACATGGTCTTTTTGAAATTGATGAAGTGTTAATGTTAGACGAAAAAGAAGACGGTCGTTGTGCTACCTTTGTTCTAATGTATTTGTTGTATGTTATTATACAGGTATTAAGTTTTTCAATACCAACATTGTATTATTTTTCACTTTGTTTCCTTTTGTTCATGATATTAAATATTTAAAACTTTCACAGCAAAAATCAATTAGCTACAACTGAAGATGGCGATGTAACGACGATTTTACTGAGTCATCTGAAGTCAAGATGTTGAAATATTCTGTAGTATTGCCATCCCGACAAAACCCAGCAACAACACACAATCGCTCCTCCCGTACAAGAGAGATCAAAAATTATTACAAACTTGTAGAGTTACCTCTCCTGCACCGCATCCTCGTTTTAAATGCATATGCATATACTATACAATCAGATAAAGTGCGAGGGGTTGTGGATACACACGATACAGACAGATAAAGTGCGAGGGGTTGCGGATACACACGAACGTGCATTGTTTCTGCATAAAGTTGAAACAAATCTTAACACATTTTAACAATATTTATTACATAAAAAGAACATATATGATACATACAAATGTAATAGGAAATATAAAATAGTCACATTTACAACCTTCTACAAAAGATGAAATATGCACTTTCAACTTACGGGTTCATTACATAAAATGGCATGATGAAAAAACGAATTTTCAGTCGGTATACTTTCTTCTTCTTTTTAGAAATGATGGAATTAGCAATTATCAAATTAAACGCAGCCTCAAATAATATCACCAAATAATGTGAAAAAACACCCAAAAAACAGTTAAAGAAACTATTGCTCAAATCGTCACGAAGCTATGTATCCAAAACAAATGAGAACAAAGGTGAACACTTACAGTCGTTAACGAAAACATACTGGGGTTAGTAAGGCTCTTCACGCAGTTTTATCGGAATGCAAACATATGTTTGACAATCATAGAGGTGTGATATACACTCGTTAAGATTGATCTGAGTAATGAATTACAACAAAAATAGATACATAAACTTAGGACAAAACAGTTTAGCAACTTAAATATTTTATAAATAATATACCAAGGTAAATACATCGACAGTTGCTTGCTTTCTCTGACAAAAAAGCACGTTTGCTTGTGGTTTTGATGTTTGAGACAAGTTAAAATGACCCTGACATTAGCGGTTTGTTGATGTATGGAACTGAAGTGAAATGACAGAAAAAAATGAAAAACCCCGAGATCTGCCATAACTTCAACACAAAATATCACGTTTGACGAGCTCATCTTATGAGAAAATGACATTTAACGACAGAAACATGGCTGATTGTCTTATAGTTTTTAATGCATTACTACATACAATAGATTATGAAAAGTGGGTTCTCAAAGCTGAAGATTTCGTCAGTCATGAGGAGGTCTTTGACATTAAAGACATAAGGAAATAAAAAAAATCCTTGCCTAAAGACCTCTCGCTTGGATACGCCCCTGCCGTTGAAAACAAAAATCTTGGCTACATATTCTATACACGACAATTAAAGCAGGCAGTAACGGAAACCATCCAGAATAAAACCTTCAAAGTTAAGGGGACCACTACATGTACAGCAGTTATAATCGCAGAGAAGAGCTCCACGTCAGAACCAACTTTGGACTTTGAAATTTCTCCCTTGTATTACATGTAGGTAGTTTTATGATTAAGAGTTGCTTCCCTTAGCAAGGTATTCCTGTTGATAAACTGAACTACCATGGTACATGATGTCTCTAGTTTCAGCCCTGGGGTTTCTGTTTATTTTCTGTTTAAAGTACTTGGATTTCGTACAACTGCAATACGGTAAAATCAATCAAAGAAGTACATAAATGATGATATCTGTAAAAACACGACGTTAACTTATATCTGATTTTTCATTTCAGAATGATTTCCAGACGAAATTGGACAACAGGCATATTTATTAAAGCCCTCTTTATATAAATATAAAGAACGTTTACAAAATGCCAATATACTAATACAATACATACCACTAGCAATAAAATATTATTACAGACGACAAGCAATAAAAACGATTCCTCTGTGTGATATAGAAAATGGTTTCTCCGCCGGAGTGATTGTAAATTATTCTCCCATACTTTCCTATAATACCTGTTGTAATGCATGGTAAACCCAAAGCAATTGCCATCAGCAAGGGGCGCGAAATATTTGACAAAATTGATGACGCTACCCTGTTACAGTTCATAAAATGATGACGCGATATAGACGATTTCAGAATAATAGCGCGTGTGAGCTGTTTTCTCTAGAAGGTTATCTAGCAAAACTGTGAACTCACTGCCCCTGTGAAGTGTGAGGAACAGTCGGAGGAAACATTCGGAGGAAACAGTGTGAGGAAACAGTCGGAGGAAACAGTCGGAGGAAACAGTAGGAGGATACCCGATGTGACAGTACTTAGGATGACGACAGTGTTATTTCACTCGTGTTCTTCGTGTCGTAATCATCGCTGACCTTATATTTCACCTCCACATCGTCATCTTCGTCGTCGTCTGCGTCCTCGTCATAATCGTCTGGGTAAGGGTTGATGACCTGTAGCATTTTCAACACTTGCTCCGCGCTTGGTCTTTTCAATGGATTAGCGTTGGTACATTTCTGAGCAACGTCCCGAAGCTGAAAGAAACAATAAAAAGTTAGAACAGCGACCAGGGCGCCACGTCGTGTGATTAATTATTAGATACTTCCAGAACTTTCTGTCATTTTAGCAATGACTGTTTCAGCAACTTTGGTCCACCAACAATTATATTTGCTGAAAAACAATCATCCTTTACATTCATTTTTGTGATAACAACACGGACTGGTGCAGTTTATGTTAATACTTTGTGTTGTTAGGTCGAACAACTCCGACATGGTTTAACAATGGGCATTGCTGCTTTTTCGTCCAAAATGAAAAATATTGAAAATGAGTTACCTATGCATATGCACTGATTGTTTTATTTCAAATCAAATCTATCTATATAAACTGTTTCGGTATAACCAGAATAAGCACTTGTTACTTATTACTAGTGTATGTATATACCGGTACCATGTGTTGAAACGTAAAAATGTGCCCATATAATGCTTTTATCAGTTCCAATTCAGTAGGTATTACAACATAAATCAGAAACAACATCCATGATTGTTATGAATATTCAACAAGGACGCCACACATACCACGGATAACATTTTTTCCTCCTGAGGGGTCAGCGGCTCCACTGCTCGGCTGTCCGAGACCTTCTCGACACTGGTCACAGTTGGCGGAGTAACTGAGGCTGTTGCTGCTGCTGTTTTTTCTGTATGGCGACCCTCCTTATCTCCCTCCTCCGCCTCTATTGCCACCTCGATTCTGTCAATGTCCGGCTCATATGCTACATTGACGTTATCTGAGGGAGATAATCATGTAATTTTCGTTATTTGCTTGTTTTTAACTTTTTATCTAATAAATAACATTAACAAAACGCAACTTCGTTTTTATTTATTCATTTATGCACGCAATGCACCGGACATATATTACGGTTTGAGTAAACGACAATAATTAGAATCTATAAAAACAGTCATAATTATTTCTCGACCCTTTCAACCATTTTGACATAAAAGCTGCAAAAATACAAAAGTATTAAAAAAACGTTATTCGAACTCGAAAGCGATAAAAATAGGTCTAAAGTTATAAACAAGTGATACCGCTTAATCAAAGAGAAAATCGGGGTAGAGACAAAACAAGGCACACTAATAAGCATCCACCCTCAAAACTAGTGATCGTAAACCCTCGATGTTCATATCACACTGGGAACTAGGACATAGACGTTATGTTGTAGACCAGAACAGTTTTCTATAGTCTTCAACAACCGGCATTTCTCGAATCCCTGTAATCTAGGTTTGTCGTCAGCATTTGACCTGTGGATATCAAATCAACCAAGACGTATTATTGAATTCTAACATACGCTAGTATTTGTTTGTGTCTGCCCCACGCTTCATACGCTAGTATTTGTTTGTGTCTGCCCCACGCTCCATACGCTAGTATTTATTTGTGTCTGCCCTACCACGCTCTATACGCTAGTATTTGTTTGTGTCTGCCCCACGCTTCATACGACAGTATTTGTTTGTGTCTGCCCTACCACGCTCCATACGCTAGTATTTGTTTGTGTCTGCCCTACCACGCTTCATACGCGAGTATTTGTTTGTGTCTGCCCTACCACGCTTTATACGCTAGTATTTTTTTGTGTCTGCCCCACGCTCCATACGCTAGTATTTGTTTGTGCCTGACCTATCACGCTCCATACGCGAGTATTTGTTTGTGTCTGCCCTACCACGCTGTCTACGCTAGTATTTGTTTGTTGCTGCCCTACCACGCTCCATCCGCTAGTATTTGTTTGTGTCAGCCCTACCACGCTCCATACTCGAGTATTTGTTTGTTTCTGCCCTACCACGCTTCATACGCGATTATTTGTTTGTGTCTGCCTGACGCTCCATACGCTAGTATGTGTTTGGGTCTGCCCTACCACGCTTTACACGCTAGTATTTTTTTGTGTCTGCCCCACGCCCCATACGAGAGTATTTGTTTGTGTGTGCCCTACCACGCTGTATATGCTAGTATTTGTTTGTGCCTGACCTATCACGCTCCATACGAGAGTATTTGTTTGAGTCTGCCCTACCACGCTGTATACGCGAGTATTTGTTTGTCTCTGCACTACCACGCTCCATACGCTAGTATGTGTTTGGGTCTGCCCTACCACGCTTTATACGCTAGGATTTTTTTGTGTCTGCCCCACGCCCCATACGAGAGTATTTGTTTGTGCCTGACCTACCACGCTCCATACGCAAGGATTTGTTTGTGTCTGCCCTACCGCGCTGTATACGCTAGTATTTTTTTGTGTCTGCCCCACGCTTCATACGCTAGTATTTGTTCGTGTCTGCCCTACCACGCTTCATACGCGATTATTTGTTTGTGTCTGCCCCACGCTTCATACGCTAGTATTTGTTTGTGTCTGCCCTACCACACTCCATACGAGAGTATTTGTTTGTGTCTGCCCTACCACGCTGTATACGCTAGTATTTGTTTGTGTCTGCCCTACCACGCTCCATACGCGAGTATTTGTTTGTGTCTGCCCTACCACGCTCTATACGCAAGTATTTGTTTGTGTCTGCCCTACCACGCTCCATACGCTAGTATTTGTTTGTGTCTGCCCTACCACGCTCTATACGCGAGTATTTGTTTGTGCCTGCCCTACCACGCTCCATACGAGAGTATTTGTTTGTGTCTGCCCCACGCTCCATACGAGAGTATTTGTTTGTGTCTGCCCCACGCTCCATACGGTAACAGAAACCTTCTGATGTCAATATCTGCCCGTATAGCCGTACAACCTGAAGCTTCGTCGTCTGTTCACAACGCAATGACTGCGATCAATCGATTGATAACCTACATCATAGGAAAATCACCGATACATTCCGAGTAGCCAGGTAAAAACATATTTATTTGTTAGTCTATTGATGACATTGTATCGTTCCGAGGACATTTCACAACTCTATCGACCCAAGTGTAAATACGAGATTGATCGTGGAGCAATCGTGGCATGCTATAAAGCTCTCACCCGGGTTGATAACTAATGCGTGTCCAACATTTAAGTGACATCAGGAAGATTGGAAACTCAAAATAAATATTAACAAGCATACTGAGTATTGCTGAAGCAATACATGTCCCCTACCGGCCCCCGCAATCTATTAAGATGCAACAGTGACCTCAACCTAGATCCGAGGACCTTGAAACTTGAACTTGTCCAATATATTGAATTTTTTTACAATAATGTGAAGTTTGACTAAAATCCATGAAAGAATGAGGCACTAGAGTGCTGACAAAGATTTTCTAAAATAGTAATAGTGACCTTGTCTTGCCCCGATTACCTTGAAATTGTCCAAGATATTTAAATTCTTTACAATAATGTGAAGTTTGATTAAAAACTAGGAAAGAATGAAGGCGCAAGAGTGCTGACAAACTTCTTCGGACAGACAGCGAGGAAAACTTTAGGTATTCTTGTTTTCTTCTCCCTCCCTGCCACCCCCACCCAGTTTCACCGGTAAGGGAATAAAAATACTAAGAAATCTTATTTGTTGATTGTAAAGGTATCTTTACAAGTGTGTGAAGTTTGATAAACAGGCAAGGAAGAATGTTAAATAAAATTTTCTATTTATAGTAACTGTGACCTTGACCATTTGACCTTAAAACTCGAACCTGTCCAACTCAAACTTGTCGAAGATATTTTAATTCTTTATGAGTGTGTGCAGTTTGATTAAAATCCATGAAAGAATGAAGACACTAGAGTGCTGACAAAGATTTTCTATTTATAGTAACAGTGACCTTGACCTTGATCCGATGACCTTGAAACTCGAACTTGTCAAAGATATTTTAATTCTTTATGAGTGTGTGAAGTTTGATTAAAATCCAAGAAAGAATGAAGACGCTAGAGTGCTGACAAAGATTTTCTATTTATAGTAATAGTGACCTTGACCTTGATCCGATGACCTTGAAACTCGAACTTGTCGAAGATATTTTAATTCTTTATGACTGTGTGAAGTTTGATTAAAAACCAAGAAAGAATGAAGACGCTAGAGTGCTGACAAAGTTTTTCTATTTATAGTAATAATGACCTTGACCTTGATCCGATGACCTTGAAACTCGAACTTGTTGAAGATATTTTAATTCTTTACATGTGTGTAAAGTTTGATTAAAATCCATGAAAGAATGAAGGCTCTAGAGTGCTGACAAACTTCTTCGGACAGACGGACAGACGGACAGACGGACAGACGGACGGACGCACAGACGCACAGACAGACAGACGGACGGACCCACGGACAGACGGAGGGGAAAACTATAGTCCCCCCGGTTTCCCGGTAGGGGACTAATAAAACATTGGTTGCTGCTTTAATCCTTCAACTACAGACTGGGTTGGAGGTTTCATCTCACAATGACAACTGCTGTGTGTGTCCAACAGGTTTTGAAATCAAGAGATTAGGAATTCAAAATAAATATTAATTAAACATTGCTTTCTGCTTTTAACAAAAATCTCGTTTAGCTGTTATCGTATCAATCAACTTTACGAAAATATTACTTTATTTTCAATAAGATTCATCACTTTGGAAATATGACCTATCAAAGTTGTACTTTAAACACAAACAATGTACGTATGAAACGTATTGCAACATTTCAAGACCGACTGGTCCCTTTGTCTAACTATGACCGACTGGTCCCATAGCTAGACAAAGGGACCAGTCGGTCATAGCTAGACAAAGGGACCAGTCGGTCATAGCTAGACCATGCCCCCAGTCGGTCATAGCTAGACAAAAGGACCAGTCGGTCATAGCTAGACAAAAGGACCAGTCGGTCATAGCTAGACAAAGGGCCCAGTCGGTCATAGCTAGACAATGGGACCAGTCGGTCATAGCGAGATAAAGGGGCCAGTCGGTCATAGCTAGACAAAGGGACCCGTCGGTCATCGCTAGACAAAGGGACCAGTCGGTCATAGCTTAGAAAAAGGGACCAGTCGGTCATAGCTAGACAATGGGACCAGTCGGTCATAGCTAGGCAACGGGACCAGTCGGTCATAGCTACACAACGGGACCAGTCGGTCATAGCTAGACAATGGGACCAGTCGGTCATAGCTAGGCAACGGGACCAGTCGGTCATAGCTACACAAAGGGCCCAGTCGGTCATAGCTAGACAAAGGGACCCGTCGGTCATCGCTAGACAAAGGGACCAGTCGGTCATAACTAGACAAAGGGACCAGTCGGTCATAGCTTGACAGAGGGACCAGTCGGTCATAGCTAGACAAAGAGACCAGACGGTCATAGCTTAGACAAAGGGACCAGTCGGGCATAGCTAGACAAAGGGACCAGGCGGTCATAGCTAGACAAAGGGACCAGTCGGGCATAGCTAGACAAAGGGACCAGGCGGTCATAGCTAGACAACGGGACCAGTCGGTCATAGCTAGACAAAGGGACCAGTCGGTCATAGCTTAGACAAAGGGACCAGTCGGTCATAGCTAGACAAAGGGACCAATCGGTCATAGCTAGACAAAGGGACCAGTCGGTCATCGCTAGACAAAGGGACCAGTCGGTCACGTTAAACTATTCACCTCGGAGTCACCTTGTCTCAAATTTTAGCATATTAAAAATCCAAGAGACATGAGCTTAATTCATATAACATGTAATCACAATGTATATTTATCATCATATTTAAATGCTATTTTCTAGTGCCTAGTGAACACAACGATACGAAGTTTCTATAACCCATGGTTTGCCCATTATAGCCCATTGTTTGCCCATTATAACCCATGGTTTGCCCATTATAACCCATGATTTGCACATTATAGCCATTTGTTTGCCCATTATAACCCATGGTTTGCCCATTATGACCCTTTGTTGGCGATTATAACCCATGGTTTGCCCATTATAGCCCATTGTTTGCCCATTATAGCCCATTGTTTGCCGATTATTACCCATGGTTTGCCGATTTAAGCCCATTGTTTGCCCATTATAGCCCATTGTTTGCCGATTATAACCCATGGTTTGCCCATTATAGCCCCTTGTTTGCCCATTATAGCCCATTGTTTGCCCATTATAAACCAAGGTTTGTCCATTATAACCCATTGTTTGCCCATTATAACCCTTTGTTTGCCGATTATAACCCATGGTTTGCCCATTATAGCCCATTGTTTGCCCATTATAACCCATGGTTTGCCCATTATAACCCATGGTTTGCCCATTATAGCCCTTTGTTTGCCGATTATAACCCATGGTTTGCCCATTATAACCCATGGTTTGCTCATTATAGCCCTTTGTTTGCCGATTATAACCCATGGTTTGCCCATTATAACCCATGATTTACCCATCATAACCCATGGTTTGGCCATTATAACCCATGGTTTGCCCATTATAATCAAAATATGTACCTGATGGTTTCTGCCTCCTTAGATTACTGGCTTGTTCCTCGGCCACCACCTCCTCGTAATCCGGCGGGGTTTCCTGTCTGGAACATTTTAATAATCAAACATGTAAGTACAATGTACATATCTTTATTAAGCAATAGGCATTTACCTTTGTGCTTCATAACCAACATACGCTATCTCACATTGTCCTGCCGGACGCTAGCTCACGTTGTCCAGGCGGACACTATCTCACGTTGTCCACGGGGACGCTATCTCACGTTGTCCACGGGGACGTTATCTCACGTTTTCCTGACGGACGCTATCTCACGTTGTCCTAACGGACGCTATCTCACGTTGTCCAGACGGACGCTATATCACGTTGTCCAGACGGACGCTATCTCACGTTGTCCTGACGGACGCTATCTCACGTTGTCCTGACGGACGCTATCTCACATTGTCCTGACGGACGCTATATCACGTTGTCAAGACGGACGCTAAATCACGTGGTCCAGACGGACGCTATCTCACGTTGTCCTGACTGACGCTATATCACGTTTTCCTGACGGACGCTATCTCACGTTGTCCTGACGGACGCTTTCTCACGTTGTCCAGGCGGACGCTAACTCACGATGTCAAGAGGGAGCTATCTCACGTTGTCCAGGCGGACGCTATCTCACGTTGTCCAGGCGGACGCTATCTCACGTTGCCAGACGGACGTTATCTCACGTTGTCAAGGCGGATGCTATCTCACGTTGTCAAGGCGGACGCTATCTCACGTTGTCCAGGCGGACACTATCTCACGTTGTCCAGGCGAACACTATCTCACGTTGTCCAGGGGGACGCAATCTCACGTTGACCTGATGGACGCTATCTCACGTTGCCCAGACGGACGCTATCTCACGTTGTCAAGGCGGACGCTATCTCACGTTGTCCTGATGGACGCTTTCTCACGTTGTCCAGACGGACGCTATATCACGTTGTCCAGGCGGCCGCTATCTCACGTTGCCCAGACGGACGCTATTTCACGTTGTCAAGGCGGACGCTTTCTCACGTTGTCAAGGCGGACGCTATCTCACCTTGTCCTAACGGACACTATCTCACGTTGTCCAGGGGGACGCAATCTCACGTTGTCCTGACGGACGCTATCTCACGTTGTCCAGACGGACGCTATCTCACAGTGTCCAGACGGAGCTATCTCACGTTGTCCAGTCGTACGCTTTCTCACGTTGTCCAGACGGGCGCTATCTCACCTTGTCCTAACGGACACTATCTCACATTGTACAGTCGGACGCTATCTCACGTTGTCCAGGCGGACGCTATCTCACGTTGTCCAGGCGGACTCTATCTCACGCTGTCCAGGCGGACGCTATCTCACGTTGTCAAGGCGGACGCTATCCCATGTTGTCAAGGCGGACACTATCTCACGTTGTCCAGACGGACGCTATCTCACGTTGTCAAGGCGGACGCTATCTCACGTTGTCCTGACGGACGCTATCTCACGTTGTCCTGACGGACGCTACATCACGTTGTCCAGACGGACGCTAAATCGCGTTGTCCTGACTGACGCTATCTCACGTTGTCCAGGCGGACGCTTTCTCACGTTGTCAAGAAGGACACTATCTCATGTTGTCCAGGCGGACGCTATATCACGTTGTCCTGACGGACGCTTTCTCACGTTGTCCAGGCGGACGCTATCTCACGTTGTCCAGACGGACGCTATCTCACGTTGTCAAGGCGGACGCTATCTCACGTTGTCCAGGCGGACGCTATCTCACGTTGCCAGACGGACGCTATCTCACGTTGTCAAGGCGGATGCTATCTCACGTTGTCAAGGCGGACGCTATCTCACGTTGTCCAGGCGGACACTATCTCACGTTGTCCAGGCGAACACTATCTCACGTTGTCCAGGGGGACGCAATCTCACGTTGTCCTGATGGACGATATCTCACGTTGTCAAGGCGGACGCTATCTCACGTTGTCCTGATGGACGCTATCTCACGTTGTCCTGATGGACGCTTTCTCACGTTGTCCAGACGGACGTTATATCACGTTGTCCAGGCGGCCGCTATCTCACGTTGCCCAGACGGACGCTATTTCACGTTGTCAAGGCGGACGCTTTCTCACGTTGTCAAGGCGGACGCTATCTCACCTTGTCCTAACGGACACTATCTCACGTTGTCCAGGGGGACGTAATCTCACGTTGTCCTGACGGACGCTATCTCACGTTGTCCAGACGGACGCTATCTCACAGTGTCCAGACGGAGCTATCTCACGTTGTCCAGGCGTACGCTTTCTCACGTTGTCCAGAATGGCGCTATCTCACCTTGTCCTAACGGACACTATCTCACATTGTACAGTCGGACGCTATCTCACGTTGTCCAGGCGGACGCTATCTCACGTTGTACAGGCGGACGCTATCTCACGTTGTCCAGGCGGACACTATCTCACGCTGTCCAGGCGAACGCTATCTCACGTTGTCCAGGCGGACGCTATCTCACGTTGTACAGGCGGACGCTATCTCACGTTGTCCAGGCGGACGCTTTCTCATATCGACGAGTCTTACACTCTCTCATTCCACTCTCTTACATGGACGAGTCTGACGCTTCCTCACTTAGACGATTTGTGTGGCTTTCTCGCATTGACGAGTCCAAGATATCTCACGTGGGCGTTTCTGACACTAACTCAGCTTGATTAGTTAGAAGCTATCTTACCTTGACTTTCTTAGGTGGACGGGTTTAATATTGTCTCACATTGACAAGTCTGGCGCTTTCTCATATGGATGAGTCTCACTGTCTTACCACGGAATTAGATTAGATCTAAGTCCGTGCTCGTACTGAATCTCTGACGCGGACGTGTCTGACGTTCTATAATATAATGTACTTGACGAGTCTGACACTAACTCACCTTGACGAGTTAGAAGCTATCTCACGTTGATGAATCTGACGCTATCTTATATATATTGACAATTATGACGATATCTGACCTTGACCTTCATGACTTTGCATTTACGATAGAAACACACTACAGCCTTGTAATTTTGAGTTGATAGATTCATTTAAAGAAGAAACGGTTATTATGTAAATACATGTGATGCTAAAGAGAAATCGCCTTTAATACAGAATATGATTTTTCTATCCACTAATCGATACACCTGCCTATAGCTGTAACAAAAAAGGTACATGGATGTATTACCCGGACATCTGGAGTGAGTACCTGATACGTGATCGATGGCGGTGCGTCCATTGTTAATTACAGAAAATCAGCCGCGGAACATACAATATAACGTCAAACGAGTTAACAAACTGTTGAGGATCCCTGTCCCATTCATCCACTCAGGTAGCTCAGTTAGATAGAGAGATGGTATAACACTCTGAGGTCCAGGAAGCTCAGTTAGATAGAGAGATGGTATAACACTCTGAGGACCAGGACACGCCCTTTTGCCAGGTAGCTAAGTTAGATAGAGAGATGGTATAACAATCTGAGGTCCAGGTAGCTCAGTTAGACAGAGAGATGGTATAACACTCTGAGGACCAGGTAGCTCAGTTAGATAAAGAGATGGTATACCAATCTGAGGACCAATAGCTCAGTTAGACAGAGAGATGGTATAACACTCTGAGGACCAGGTAGCTCAGTTAGATAAAGAGATGGTATACCAATCTGAGGACCAATAGCTCAGTTAGACAGAGAGATGGTATAACAATATGAGGACCAGGTACCTCAGTTAGATAGAGAGATGGTATAACAATCTGACGTCCAGGTAGCTCAGTTAGATAGAGAGATGGGATACCAATCTGAGGTCCAGGTAGCTCAGTTAGATAGAGAGTTGGTATAACACTCTGAGGTCCAGGTATCTCAGTTAGAGAGAGAGATGGTATAACACTCTGAGGACCAGGGCACGCCCTTTTACCAGGTAGCTAAGTTAGACAGAGAGATGGTTTAATAATCTGAGGACCAGGTAGCTCAGTTAGACAGAGAGTTGGTATAACACTCTGAGGACCAGGTAGCTCAGTTAGATAAAGAGATGGTATACCAATCTGAGGACCAATAGCTCAGTTAGACAGAGAGATGGTATAACAATATGAGGACCAGGTACCTCAGTTAGATAGAGAGATGGTATAACACTCTGAGAACCAGGACACGCCCTTTTACCAGGTAGCTAAGTTAGACAGAGAGATGGTTTAATAATCTGAGGACCAGGTAGCTCAGATAGACAGAGAGATGGTATAACAATCTGAGGTTCAGGTAGCTCAGTTAGACAGAGAGATGGTATAACAATCTGTGGACCAGGTAGCTCAGTTAGATAGAGAGATGGTATACCAATCTGAGGTCCAGGTAGCTCAGTTAGACAGAGAGATGGTATAACAATATGAGGACCAGGTAGCTCAGTTAGATAGAGAGATGGTATAACAATCTGAGGACCAGGTAGCTCAGTTAGACAGAGAGATGGTATAACAATATGAGGACCAGGGAGCTCAGTTAGATAGAGAGATGGTATACCAATCTGAGGACCAGGTAGCCCAGGTAGATAGAGAGATGGTATAACAATCTGAGGACCAGGTAGCTCAGTTAGATAAAGAGATGGTATACCAATCTGAGGACCAATAGCTCAGTTAGACAGAGAGATGGTATAACAATCTGAGGACCAGGTAGCTCAGTTAGACAGAGAGATGGTATACCAATCTTAGGACCAGGTAGCTCAGTTAGACAGAGAGATGGTATAACAACCTGAGCACCAGGTCGCTCAGTTAGACAGAGAGATGGTATAACAATCTGAGGACCAGGTAGCTCAGTTAGACAGAGAGATGGTATAACAATCTGAGGTCCAGGTAGCTAAGTTAGACATAGAGATGGTATAACAATCTGAGGTCCAGGTAGCTAAGTTAGACATAGAGATGGTATAACAATCTGAGTATCAGGTAGCTCAATGGTATAACACTCTGAGGTCCAGGTAGCTGAGTTAGATAGAGAGATGGTGTAACAACCTGAGCACCAGGTAGCTCAGGTAGACAGGGAGATGGTATAACAATCTGAGGTCCAGGTAGCTAAGTTAGACATAGAGATGGTATAACAATCTGAGGGCCAGGTAGCTCAGTTAGATAGAGAGGTGGTATAACAATCTAAGGACCAGGTAGCTAAGTTAGATAGAGAGATGGTATACCAATCTTAGGACCAGGAAGCTCAGTTAGACAGAGAGATGGTATAACAACCTGAGCACCAGGCAGCTCAGTTAGACAGAGAGATGGCATAACAACCTGAGCACCAGGTAGCTCAGGTAGACAGGGAGATGGTATAACAATCTGAGGTACAGGTAGCTGAGTTAGATAGAGAGATGGTATACCAATCTGAGGACCAGGTAGCTCTGTTAGACAGAGAGATGGTATACCAATCTTATGACCAGGTAGCTCAGTTAGATAGAGAGGTGGTATAACAACCTGAGCACCAGGTAGCTCAGGTAGACAGAGAGATGGTATAACACTCTGAGGGCCAGGTAGCTCAGTTAGATAGAGAGATGTTATAACAATCTAAGGAGCAGGTAACTCAGTTAGATAGAGAGATGGGATAACAACCTGAGCACCAGGCAGCTCAGTTAGACAGAGAGATGGAATAACAACCTGAGCACCAGGTAGCTCAGGTAGACAGGGAGATGGTATAACAATCTGAGGTCCAGGTAGCTAAGTTAGACATAGAGATGGTATAACAATCTGAGGTCCAGGTAGCTAAGTTAGACATAGAGATGGTATAACAATCTGAGGTCCAGGTAGCTAAGTTAGACATAGAGATGGTATAACAATCTGAGGACCAGGTAGCTCAATGGTATAACACTCTGAGGTCCAGGGTTGGAGTCCTTGTCTAGCTCCACTGAATACGCTGTTGTTTATTGTATTTTGTTTACAACAGAAGTGATTATTAACCTATAGTCATGTCGGATTGACAGTGGTGCAAGGCTCTTTAATACAATATCGAACAGTACCAGCCTGGTGGGTTTTTTACTTAATTTCATTCTGTACGAATGTCACTTTAGAACTGATTCTTAGATTACATTTGGTTCTAACTTTTCCGTACAGATTAGCTGTACCATAAGTTGTTCCTGGTAACGTTCCATACACACCAGGGACAATATATCATCTCTTATTTCAATAACGATTTATGGTTTGATTCAACTTTCTGTTAAAATATTTATATATGTACCTACTGATATAAAGTTAGCACTATAGAGTTGAATTGTTGAATGTGCAAGTCCCATGAACTGTTAGTAGAGAGGGAGCGTAACAATGGGGTGTCATCGGGAGCACGTATGTATGTTATATCGGTAGGTAAAGGGAAACTATTACTTAATTGATATTAGAATCAAGAAATATTGGTTTTAATCTCCAGCGTTGATATCAAACATATGTAGGTACATTGATGTAGCTCAGTCGCTGTAACACACAACTGCCCAGGTACCACTGTACAGCGCAATTACCCTGGTGGCACACAGTAGCGGGCCTGTAATTGTGCTGGTGGGCTTTTCCACCATTTTACCTTGTATCATTCCATATTTATGACTGATCATAGCTAAATTATGCAGTTGTAGTTTTAATTCTCGGCGTTTAGCATCACACCGTGATACTACGTAAGCTGTCTGCTGGTAACATGTATAGGTGTACAGTACACATCTGGCGTTATAAGGGAGTTTAAATAGTCAGCAACAAAAACATATAAACGGGTGGTAAGAAAATGTAAACACTGTATCAAAATATATATTTAAATTAATATGACAAGATGGGGAATATGTTAATGTTTCATTTAAATCATATAAACGAGAAACATACTGTTTATATAAGAGAAACATTATAACGTTTTACTGTAAATTTATATATGTATCAACAAGACACATCAAAGACTGTTATACAACATAAAAACACATACAACCAATGTCAAGCGTCAATCATATTTTTTCATGGTGATTTTTTTTATATTTTTATGATAAAAACATAGTTTCTATACAGGTTTTATCACACGTCACCAAGTGTATACTACATACAATGTACAAGCAATATATCTCTCGACAGGAATTATTAATAAATCATTTTAGGTTGACTTACATGTGTGGCTGGACGGACATGTCGGCTGCTGCTGCTGCTGCTGCTGGGATGTCGCCGGGCTGTGTGTATGTACGTATATACGAGGCCTGCTCGTTGATGGCAGTCGATTAACTTTGTCCCCGAGGACTGTTTAATCGTACTTCATCGTGGAATGTACAAAGTGGCATTTAATGAGGTATCGTTGGGACATTGTTATAATGGCTGCAATTAGTGGAATTCAGAACAGTACTAGGCCTTTCAAACGGTTCATACATTGCAAAGTTGAACAACTATAGTTGATATATTCTTTCTGGTTGATTTTTAATAAAGTATTTTTTTTTAATTCTCATATCTAAGTTAACCATAGAGTCTATTTTAATAAAAGAAATGTCTTAAATGTTTCATCAGCTCCTGTTTTGTTTTTTTCTTTGTATGATCAGTCCCTATTGTTGTATATGTGTCATCATTTCCTGTTGTGTTTACTTTATGTGCCATCATTTCCTGTTGTCTTTACTATGTGTGTCATCATTTCCTGTTGTCTTTACTATGTGTGTCATCATTTCCTGTTGTCTTTCATATGTTCGTCAACATTTCCTGTTGCCTTTGATATATGTGTCATCATTTTTTGTTGTCTTTACTATATGTGTCATCATTTCCTGTTGCCTTTACTATGTGTGTCAACATTTCCTGTTGTCTTTACTATGTGTGTCATCATTTACTGTTGTCTTTCCTATGTGTGTCATCATTTCCTGTTGTCTTTACTATGTGTGTCATCAGTTCCTGATGTCTCTCTTTATGTGTCATCAGTCTGTGATGTCCTTCTTTATGCGTAATCAGTTCCTGTAGTCTTTCTTTATGTGTGATCAGTCCTTGATGTCTTTCTTTATGTGTCATCATCATTTCCTGTTGTGTTTACTTTATGTGCCATCATTTCCTGTTGTCTTTTCTATGTGTGTCAACATTTCATGTTGTCTTTACTATGTGTACTATGTGTGTCATCAGTTCCTGATGTCTCTCTTTATGTGTCATCAGTACCCGATGTCTCTCTTTATGTGTCATCAGTCTGTGATGTCCTTCTTTATGCGTAATCAGTTCCTGTAGTCTTTCTTTGTTTGTTATCAGTCCCTGATGTTTTTCTGTATGTGTCATCAGTCCCCGATGTCTCTCTTGATGTGTGATCAGTCCTTGATGTCTTTCTTTATGTGTCATCAGTCATCGATGTCTCTCTTTATGTGTGATCAGTCCCTGATGTTTTTCTGTATGTGTCATCAGTCCCCGATGTCTCTCTTGATGTGTGATCAGTCCTTGATGTCTTTCTTTATGTGTCATCAGTTCTTGTAATCTTTCTGTGTGTGTCATCAGTCCCTGTACACTTTCTTTATGTGTCATCAGTCCCTGTACACTTTCTTTATGTGTCATCAGTCTGTGATGTCCTTCTTTATGTGTAATCAGTCCCTCATGTCTATCTTTATGTCATCAGTCCTCGATGTCTCTCTTTATGTGTCATCAGTCTGTGATGTCCTTCTTTATGTGTAATCAGTCCCCGATGTCTCTCTTTGTATGTCATCAGTCCCCGATGCCTCTCTTTATGTGTTATCAGTCCCAGATGTCTCTCTTTATGTGTCATCAGTTCTTGTAATCTTTCTGTGTGTGTCATCAGTCCCCGATGCCTCTCTTTATGTGTTATCAGTCCCAGATGTCTCTCTTTATGTGTCTTCATTCCCCGATGTCTCTCTTTGTATGTCATCAGTCCCCGATGCCTCTCTTTATGTGTTATCAGTCCCAGATGTCTCTCTTTATGTGTCTTCATTCCCCGATGTCTCTCTTTGTATGTCATCAGTCCCCGATGCCTCTCTTTATGTGTTATCAGTCCCAGATGTCTCTCTTTATGTGTCTTCATTCCCCGATGTCTCTCTTTGTGTGTAATCAGTCCCTGATGTCCCTCTTTATGTTTCATCAGTCCTTGATGTCTCTCTTTATGTGTCTTCATTCCCCGATGTCTCTCTTTGTATGTCATCAGTCCCCGATGCCTCTCTTTATGTGTTATCAGTCCCAGATGTCTCTCTTTATGTGTCTTCATTCCCCGATGTCTCTCTTTGTGTGTCATCAGTCCCCGATGTCTGTCTTTGTGTGTAATCAGTCACTGATGTCCCTCTTTATGTTTCATCAGTCCTTGATGTCTTTCTTTATGTGTCATCAGTCTGTGATGTCCTTCTTTATGTGTAATCAGTTCCTGTAGTCTTTCTTTGTTTGTTATCAGTCCCTGATGTTTTTCTGTATGTGTCATCAGTCCCTGATGTCTCTCTTTATGTGTCTTCATTCCCCGATGTCTCTCTTTGTGTGTAATCAGTCACTGATGTCCCTCTTTATGTTTCATCAGTCCTTGATGTCTCTCTTTATGTGTCATCAGTTCTTGTAATCTTTCTGTGTGTGTCATCAGTCCCCGATGTCTCTCTTTGTGTGTAATCAGTCCCCGATGTCTCTCTTTGTGTGTCATCAGTCCCTGTACACTTTCTTTATGTGTCATCAGTCTGTGATGTCCTTCTTTATGCGTAATCAGTTCCTGTAGTCTTTCTTTATGTGTGATCAGTTCCTGTAATCTTTCTTTGTGTGTCATCAGTCCCCGATGTCTCTCTTTGTGTGTAATCAGTTCCTGTAGTCTTTCTTTATGTGTGATCAGTCCTTGATGTCTCTCTTTATGTGTCTTCATTCCCCGATGTCTCTCTTTGTGTGTAATCAGTCCCCGATGTCTCTCTTTGTGTGTAATCAGTCCCTGATGTCCCTCTTTATGTTTCATCAGTCCTTGATGTCTTTCTTTATGTGTCATCAGTCTGTGATGTCCTTCTTTATGCGTAATCAGTTCCTGTAGTCTTTCTTTGTTTGTTATCAGTCCCTGATGTTTTTCTGTATGTGTCATCAGTCCCTGTACACTTTCTTTATGTGTCATCAGTTCTTGTAATCTTTCTGTGTGTGTCATCAGTCCCTGTACACTTTCTTTATGTGTCATCAGTACCCGATGTCTGTCTTTGTGTGTAATCAGTCCCTGATGTCCCTCTTTATGTTTCATCAGTCCTTGATGTCTTTCTTTATGTGTCATCAGTCTGTGATGTCCTTCTTTATGTGTAATCAGTCCCCGATGTCTCTCTTTGTGTGTAATCAGTCCCTGATGTCCCTCTTTATGTTTCATCAGTCCTTGATGTCTCTCTTTATGTGTCTTCATTCCCCGATGTCTCTCTTTGTATGTCATCAGTCCCCGATGCCTCTCTTTATGTGTTATCAGTCCCAGATGTCTCTCTTTATGTGTCATCAGTCTGTGATGTCCTTCTTTATGTGTAATCAGTCCCCGATGTCTCTCTTTGTGTGTAATCAGTCCCCGATGTCTCTCTTTGTGTGTAATCAGTTCCTGATGTCTCTCTTTATGTGTGATCAGTCCCTGATGTTTTTCTGTATGTGTCATCAGTCCCCGATGTCTCTCTTGATGTGTGATCAGTCCTTGATGTCTTTCTTTATGTGTCATCAGTCCCTGTACACTTTCTTTATGTGTCATCAGTCCTTGATGTCTCTCTTTATGTGTCATCAGTCCCTGTACACTTTCTTTATGTGTCATCAGTCTGTGATGTCCTTCTTTATGTGTAATCAGTCCCCGATGTCTCTCTTTGTGTGTAATCAGTCACTGATGTCCCTCTTTATGTTTCATCAGTCCTTGATGTCTTTCTTTATGTGTCATCAGTCCCTGTACACTTTCTTTATGTGTCATCAGTCATCGATGTCTCTCTTTATGTGTGATCAGTTCCTGTAATCTTTCTTTGTGTGTCATCAGTCCCCGATGTCTCTCTTTGTATGTCATCAGTCCCCGATGCCTCTCTTTATGTGTTATCAGTCCCAGATGTCTCTCTTTATGTGTAATCAGTCCCTCATGTCTATCTTTATGTCATCAGTCCTCGATGTCTCTCTTTATGTGTCATCAGTTCCTCATCATTTCCTGTTGTGTTTACTTTATGTGCCATCATTTCCTGTTGTCTGTACTATTTGTGTCATCATTTCCTGTCGTCTTTACTATGTGTGTTATCATTTCCTGTTGTCTTCACTATATGTGTCATCATTTCCTGTTGTCTTTACTATATATGTCATCATTTTCTGTTGTCTTTACTATATGTGTCATCATTTACTGTTGTCTTTACTATGTGTGTCATCATTTCCTGTTGTCTTTACTATGTGTGTCATTATTTCCTGTTGTCTTTACTATGTGTGTCATTATTTCCTGTTGTCTTTACTATGTGTGTCATTATTTCCTGTTGTCTTTACTATGTGTGTCATTATTTCCTGTTGTCTTTACTATGTGTGTCATTATTTCCTGTTGTCTTTACTATGTGTGTCAACATTTCCTGTTGTCTTTACTATGTGTGTCAACATTTCCTGTTGTCTTTACTATAGGTGTCGTCATTTTCTGTTGTCTTTACTATATGTGTCATCATTTCCTGTTGTCTTTGCTATGGGTGTCATCATTTCCTGTTGTCTTTACTATGTGTGTCATCATTTCCTGTTGTTTTTACTATGTGTGTCAACATTTCCTGTTGTCTTTACTATAGGTGTCATCATTTTCTGTTGTCTTTACTATATGTGTCATCACTTTCTGTTGTCTTTACTATATGTGTCATCATTTCCTGTTGTGTTTGCTATGTGTGTCATCAGTTTATGTTGTCTTTACTATGCGCTTAATCAGTTCCTGTAATATCTCTTTATGTGTCATCAGTCCCCGATGTCTCTCTTTATGTGTCATCAGTCCCTGTACTCTTTCTTTATGTGTCATCAGTTTCTGATGTCTCTCTTTATGTGTCATCAGTCATCGATGTCTCTCTTTATGTGTCATCAGTCCCTGTTCTCTTTCTTTATGTGTCATCAGTTTCTGATGTCTCTCTTTATGTGTCATCAGGCATTGATTTCTCTCTTTATGTGTCATCAGTTCTTGTAATCTTTCTGTGTGTGTCATCAGTCCTTGATGTCTCTCTTTATGTGTCATCAGTTCCCGATGTCTCTCTTTATGTGTCATCAGTCATCGATGTCCCTCTTTATGTGTCATCAGTTCTTGTAATCTTTCTGTGTGTGTCATCAGTCCTTGAT